GATTGACTGTGCTTTAGAAAATTGTTGATAACTTTTTTTCAAAGTCCTAACCTTACCAATACTTATAACCCAGAGGCTATAGTTGGATTCTCGTTGCGAGGCTCATTGATTCGATCCTCGACATATCCACAAGACTTTGAGAAGTTTGGACCACTAAGGAGGTAGTGAGCCGCGTCCGGTGAAGTAGAGTGGTCCGGGTAATGAGATATGAGATAAAAGAAACACGATGTGATGTGAGACTGCGATGATCGAAACCAATGTTGACACCTATAACTCCCTTTGGGCCATAATAATACTCAGAATCGCGAAGAGTTATTTTTGGGAGGTACAGGTACAATCAATCAAATGTATATTTATTTGCACTTAGGTACATACTTCCCTATAACATGTGTGTATAACTATAAAGTAGTAAAAACAACTAAAAATACCAACCAATAAATGTGATAATTTGATTACAAAATACGTCCTCTTAGTAAACCCACATTAAACGCCAGAGTCAGTAAACGAAGTCACAAGAGTTGAGTCACACTGCGACGGCATAAATTAACACCTGCACGGCCAATAAAAACTAAACAAAAGCGGCCCGAGAACGGAGCCTTGAGGCACGCCGCATCCATTATCGAGTTATGAGCCCTTGAGACAAAAGGGCGCGTGCCTGACAAAAGGACACAAAACCCTTCATAAACACGAGCCATGCTGATACGGCGGTCCTAAACCCTTTAAGGACTTGTGTCGGTAAACAATGCAGCGTCAAGCGTGACATCGTCCTGTCAAAGCTCTCTACTACAGTTTCCTCTAGTGATACTTCCTCCTCGTCCTGCGTGTTTAAGGATAATTAACCTGGGTTTTGGAATATCGATGTTTCATTAGAAACTGTCATTTGTTTCGTTAAAAGTTGTTGTATGTTTTATTTCAAAAGCATCCTTATTGGTTTTTAAAATAACTTTTCTTTTTATGAATTACGATTTTTCTAACAAAAACTCTTATCATACATGAAGCAAAAATGAAGCTATACTTTTGTGTTTGTATTTTAGATCTTTATACATTCAGCTTTACGCTTACAATTTTGTTTGTATAGGATACGTTTTTTTTTGTTTTAAGGAGTAAACAATAAAAAAAAAGATTTGTCTAAAGGGAACTACATGACGTTTTACTGTATAACTATTAGGTATTCTCACGTAATTTTACCTTAATCATTAATTAAATGAGAGATACACAAAATTGATACATATAGTGTTGCATCATTTTATAAAACATATAGATGAATAATAGTATATAGAAAGGTTTTTTTAATGAAAGTAGACAAAATATACGTCACATTATCAAAGATACTACAATTCTTACACTCCCTTCAAGACCAATATGGCACCAACATTTTGATATAGTTCTCTCAACAAATGTTTCCTTAATTATTGAGAAATACACAGACTTTATGTAGTACTTGTAGTATATTATTATATACCGTGTATGTACTAAGTTGTTTATACCAAACAAAAGCAAATTTTAATAGACATTCTTAAAAGGCCAGAGTAAAACCAAATCTTTGACCTAGTTCCCACAAACAAGTGAGGCCCCAACCAAGACCCTTGTGGAGCTCCAGAGCGTGGCGTGCCGACTTGTCGCGTGTCGCCACCACCCGCTTCAACACGAGAGTAAAAACTGGACCAACCGTGGCAACCGGTTCGGTATTAATACCACTAATGGGTGTCGATTTAAAACGCGTGTAAACCCGATCGTATTACGATCTAATAACCCGCGCGATAATTCGGCCCACTGACCGGTGCCGAATTAATTAAATTTAACCGCGGTGGTTCCGTTGTTTTAATTACCGGCGTAATTAATCGGTCGCGAAACCGGATCTGACCTTTCGGACGACCTTTCGGAATCAATCGGCCCGGACCTGTTCTGTTTGGAAGTTATCGGTAATAAATTGGAATTTCTCTCGGATCGCAGCCACTTTTCTTCGGGTTTATTGCGCCGTCGTTGGTGGCGAGCTCGCCGAGCTTTTTATTGGAGAAGAGTCGATCGCCGAGGAGAATTTCCACGCAAAACACCCCGGTGCTATTCACCTTTGCATTGTGAAAGGCTGTAAAAGCTAAACTGGTTATCGGGTTGGACGTGGCAGAAACCGAAGATTGAAACTGTGATAGGCAATAAAAGTAGCGGCGAAAATGTATTATATTCCTATTACCATTTATGTACTGTACCGGTGATTCTCGCATCGTTACTACAAGATCGGAGGAATAGTTATGGTGTAGCGTTAATCGAAAAACTTCTAATATGTGTATGACTCCTCTAATCTCCAACTACTGTAGATACTCCAAATACAAAAGATATGGTGCGCTGATGGAGAAGAACCATGAGAACCAGTGAACTATAACAAGTCTAGGAATCCTGACGAAGTCATGTACTCACACGTATACCCGACAGAGCTTGAGGAAAACAAGGCTAACCGTCTTACAGTACCATTAAGTCTTTGACTTGAAACGAAGGAAAGTCAGGAATGTCGTGAAGAAGGACAGCAGATCCGATCTTCTCAGCCAATGACACAGAACTCCCACTTTCCTCAGCACGCTAGCAGTTCTTGTCCGCAGTTTCTCCCATCGTCCAGTCGTAAACCGGCAGTCACGGCATCTTCCCTCTCTCTCACTCCCGCGGCAGATGGCTATCTTCCTCTCTCTCCCTCTCATTACACGATGGCAATCAGAGACCACGAGTTTTATTGATTTGTAGTCAGTCGCTAGCGGCAAGGTCTCGGATCTGCTCCAGTGACTCGCATCTCTTCTTTCACTTCCGCGCTTCGACTGGTCAATAAAGGGTCAAGGGGCTCACCTGGGCGGTGCTTGTTTCATCAACATAGTATTTCCAATCTATGAAACCAAAAGTTATAAATCTTGAATATTTTCTATCCACAGTTGACAAAAGAGAGAGATTGTGTTTTGACATAGAAATCATTGAGGATTTTCAAACATCAATGCCACTTCTTAGAATTTTAAGATTTATAAAGTGGAGTTACAATTAGTTAAACTTTGAGAATCCGATACTTAAACAATGAGGTGATTGATGTGGGTAACATTCTAATCTATCACGTGAAGAAAGTTAAGACATTTAAAGTTGTACACCTGGAAGAAGAAATGCCAGAAGCTATCAACACAAGAAATGGGTATTACCATTTATATTACAATCACGGTTGACCTTTAACCTTTGAACCTTTATGCTATCTTCGGACCAATTAAAACCACACAATTAACAATAACCCTTGGACAAACCTATAATTGCAACACTACGATGCAATGGAAAACGGTGTAATATTTAAACATTCAAATTTCGGCATGATCTCGATACATACCCAGAACTCCCTTAACATCATATCACTCGTATAACGAGCACCTGATGTAGCTAGAGACGCGATCACAGACGACACAACTGTTGCTGTACGTACATTCCCGATGTGCATCGCGTTTACATACAAATGTTGCTGCGTAATTGATGATAATGTCCCACTGGCATTCAGCCAACCATCTGCTTTCTTCCTTCAATCTCCGGTGTAATTTAATCCTTTGTATGTTTCACCGATTTGTTTATCGATCAGGAAGAACTCTACCTCTTTCACTGTAAATGCAAATCGATTTAATGCACAGTTTAGGCAGCATGACAAGTTCTGAATAAAAGTGTAAATATTGACCAATGTTTTGCAAGAGGATATATTAAGGGTCTTCCGTGAATGGCCTTTTTGTTTTTTTAAAGAACTCAATAATTGAACTTCATGCGGAGGTGAGGTACAATCTGTCCACAAGATGAGCCGAACTGTATCGTGCTGACATTCCCTCACGTTCGTCGACAATTTGCTGTAAGTGGCCTGGGGCGTTAGACTCGCGAACTACGTCTGGGACATGGCACGAAGATAGCTGAGGAATCATGATGCACCTCCAGGGCTTGACGTAGGTACTACACAACTCTAGGTTCTTGCAGTCGTTGCTTTGCAAGAGAACGACTAGATGTCTTTTCGCTCAAAGTAAAAACCCATCTACTATGCACTGCGAATGTGTCCAGGTTGGGTAAAATCGTACCAACCTAAATCACAGAAAACATACTATAGTAGTATGTTTTCTGTACCTAAATCCAGCTACGAGTTTAGGTTTGGAATTGTGATAAGCACCGATTGACTATTCATATTACGGCCTGTTTATACACGGTTGATTTTACTTCTCGTCGTCCAATACTCTTTTTGTGAATCTTACTTCGATAAAAACAAATTATTTTGAGAAATATTCCTTAATTCATAAGTTTTTTAACCTCAGCTTAGCCACTGAAGACGCTTTTCTACAATTAGGATGACCTTTCTGACAGTAAATACTGTTTGGAATCGTGGTTGACGTAAAAAGGATCGATGGATTCATTTCCGATATTGCTGAAAACTCGGATCAAACGTCTAACTTCTAGCAGAGATTTGATCCAATAACGCAGTTGGCACCAAAAAAGTCAATGGATTAATTTACAATAAAGCAAAAAACGTTCGAAACTTAGAAGCTCTAAGACTTTTATCTAATCTGACTTACTTTTCTAATTTATTCTTGCGACAAGTTGAGTTTCATACGAATTTCTGTATTTTAATTAAATGAGTAACCCCTAACGTTTTTTTTTAGAAATAAATTTGACACGAGCTTTGTTTAGAAGATAGTAATAAAATAACAAACTCGTATTTTAACAAGACGCTAGATTCTTGCGTGGCCCAACAGCGTATTGTTGTCAAGCAAGATTGTCACTCAGAGACAGCAAGTACGTGTTTAGATGAACGTGGTCGTTAACAACAATCACTTGTCTTGAACACCAACCTTTCCGAGGATGAACTTTTGAAACACATCATGAGAACACACACGTGATGTAAACAACATCTTTGCCTTTTTTATGTTTTCTTATGTATCGCCTATTCATAGGTCCTTACTGAATCTTTTGCTGCATTCTTCTAGACCTCTTATTTACCCTTCTTTCTTTTTCAGGCTGCAAGAGCTTCTTCAAGCGCAGTGTCAGGAGAAACCTCACCTACTCGTGTCGGGGCAGTAGAAATTGCCCCATAGACCAACACCATAGAAACCAGTGCCAGTTTTGCCGGCTGAAAAAGTGCCTCAAGATGGGCATGCGGAGAGAAGGTAAGATTGCAATTTTGTGTTGGATGTTAGATAAGATAACCTTCACCTACTGCTGATAATGAAACATATTTTTTCCATTGACCTCTTTTCGCTAGTCCTCCTTAATTGTGGCGAAATGCTGGATTATCCTTTTAAATAAATAAATTGTTTAAAGTCTCTAAAGGCTTAAACATTATTTTAACGTCAGTGGTAGTATATTTGTCTGAAAAGACTGCCTCTTTGTAGAAAAATACGAGTCAATACTAACAACTGCAATTGGTACAGTAATAATATTCTTCAATGTAACAAAGCAAATCTTTAAATTTCATCATACGCAGCCCAAAGGCCACTTATCCTATCACGTTTCCCATGTTTGAAAAAGCTTATGCCTATTTCATTGAGATTGCGGATTGTTATATAGATTATCTCGACTTTTCTGACAATACAGTACATATCTCTACCTGCCCTAAACGTTACTGGAGGAGAATGAAATTTGCACTAGCCAACTTGCAGTGCTGTGAAGGCCCCGTCATCCAGCGGATTCCCGCGTAACCGCGAACTCTCAGCTGTTACTGTGGTCGGCGGCTTGTAAGATGAGTAGAGGATTCTGATTGGTCGGCGACCTGGAGGCGGGAACCATCCGTCATGTGTACATGTGACGTGTGGTATATTGATCATGAGCATTAGCCTCGCCACTTCACTGAGTCGCTGCCTTCTTGATATCGCTGAGGAATAGTTCACGCTTCGTTTATACTATATAAAATCATATTTATGATTGTGAATTTTGCATTTGTGGTTTTAATGGGTTGTAATCGTAATATAGCTTCTCATCCATTCTAATAAAAGTACTAGGTTATTCCGTTTTAAAAGCTTGAATTTATCACCATTAAAATACGCCTTGGATACCAAACCAGCACTTGCAAGATATCATTTTGGTGGTTCGAAAAATGAATTGGTTTCGAGCCAGTGATAGAAACAAAAGGTGGAAATGCGCTCCTTTCACCTCTATATGCATTTAACTTTTTCATTTGTCCTATTAACCTAGTAAAAATCTATGCGTGTTGATGTATGTCCAAATAGCTAGTAGATCTTCGATTTGAATGTTAGTCGTTAAAGTACTTAAACAAATTAGGACGAAGCTATCATACATCACCCTTTTGAGGATTGTATGTTTTAAAGGTCTGTAAACGCATAATTACATTTCTCTTTCCATCTCAACCCACAACCAACTTTGTAAACAGCTACCAAAATTATATTATTCATCCTCTCACTTAACACTCAGACAATTACTGAGTTGAGTCAACTAAATCCTAAACATCAAACTTACACAAAACATAGGATATACGCAAAACTTTCCACGAATATCGTCAGACCATTCTAGCATTTGACCAGTAATGTTTTTGGAACGAATAGTACTCACGGCCGAGCGCCCAAGATCCCATATTATGACGATGAAGAATGAAACAAGAAGAAGACGCGTCTCACGGACCATAATGCCCCACGCCGCCAAGCAACAATTAACTTCCAATTCCGTAACCTTTGTTCCCTTGAAGCATTAACACTCAATTCTCCACGCTGTTTATTAAGCGTTCCTTTATATGAGGGTAAACACCTGTGATTTTACACTAAACCGTAACGTTATGTTACATGGGTGTTTAAGTTTTGTGTCCATGTGTGTCTTCTTTTCCCTAACTTCTGTGTGATCTCACCATCTCACTATTACAGAATTAAAATGAAAAGATTTTAGACTTGTGTTCTATAGTGACGCATAGTACTAAGGTTAGTAAAAGCACCACGGTACCAAGTTAGTAAAGTAGTGACCTCATAGAAAACTCACTGAAAATTCTGGGGTGTCCAACTCATTTCTTATGAAGACTATTTACATGAAAACTAGGGTTAAACGCTGGTTCGGACAGTTACCTTACAACGTAAAAATACCATACAGTTGTGTCAACAAAACACACCACAATCTCGAGATTGAAATGTTTAAGTAAATTTAATTTTCAGTTACATTCAAGATGTTCATATTCTTCAGGAAATATTCAGAGACAGTCTTTGTACATATTTCTAACCCCGCAAACGTTGGCTTCTGCTCGTGATCTCTTCCTCCCTATGCAAGAACGCACATATACATACATTATCCTATGCACAGTTTCATTCTCAGTTCATTATAGTTAATTGCGAGTTGCTGTTGCGCTTTCCTGACTTTTGCTGACTAATTCCGCGTTATTACTCTTCGAAGTGCGTATATTATGTTGTTATGCAAATCAGTGCTGTAGTGGTGCTGTAAAATCCTTGAACGGTAAATAATTAGTAATGGTTGATTGGTTTGCCAGGATTAAACTATAAAAATTAAATATTCGGTTATCTTTCGGTACTATCGTTGACTTTGTATACTGAACATAGAGTTATCATACAGTTGTAAATATAATGTTTGTTTTCATGCGTGTTTCACGTTTGGTAGCGTTTGAGAGCGTTAAAATCGACTAATAGCTGGGTAGTTTAACTTTAACTTTTTGGGTTGAAGTGCTCACAAAACAAGAGGTCGGTTGGATCCTAAGACGTGTTAGTAGCTTTTGATGACTTAAAACTAGAACCAGCAGTCCTTTATAATTGGTGTATTAGTAAGTAGACCCTAATCCTGAAAAAATATTAAAGTGGGTAATATATAGTAACAAATCTACACGGATAATCTAGCCACATTATTTACAATCAGCTAACAATCAAACTCTGTTCAATCATGAATGAGAAAATCACTGCGTTGTCTTGGTAAAGTTGTAAATGATAACTAAATAACTGAATGTTTGATCTTTTTAGGGGTAGTTTCAAAATATTCTATCTATACGAGAGTGCATCCGGTATCTAGCTTTTATTATTAGATCGTTCTACTGTTGTAATTTGATGAAATAACAATGGTATAATTGTTAACATGATAACGGTATCAACATAACCATACAGAAACCTAACTTTTTGTCAGGATATCTAAATGACTGACAAATCTTTGAGGAGCTGTACTCTTCTTTGTATCTTTGAGACAATTAGCTTGGTTAGCTTGGATTAAGCTTAATAGAAGAGTATACATATTTGTGTTCTTTAACTGTTTGAAACACAGTTTAATTCTATTTAAATAAACCCATGTAATTACTAATTATGGTTCGTTGAATTTTCTTTATTTATAAAACCAAGAGTACCAATAAAACTTTTTCGTAAAATCCATCACAATGAAACATTTCAAAATGTTAGTTAAAAATCGCATTAAGTACGTTCCACTTTGGAAAAATCTGTTACCCAACTATCCGGTTACCGATTTCACTATCCACTAAACCTTTCCCATGACCTCACCCAAAGATTGTTTTAGGAACTGGTCCTGTCCCGCGAAACGAGTTGAAAAATCGGTGCGGCCCGCGACCGCCGGGCGACGTCCCGTATGGGAATATCGAAACTTGATTGGAACAGGATTAGAACAAAACACTCTACTGGAGCCGTGGGTCCCAAAACTGGATTGCTATGAGTTGTCACAGGTGAACCCCGCGGACCGGTCACTCAAGAAATGTTTCGGTATGAAAAGATAGTTAAGGTTAACTGCTACAATAGGCAGTAAAGATAAATGGGCATAATCTCGTTTGGGAGCCGTTTGTTGGGAGTGTAAAATTTCTATGGCCATTCTCTAGAATGGAAATAACAATATTAGTTCCCATGTTATGTTGATGTAATTTAAACAAATCAGAGTCGCAGGTGAACTTATTCGTTAAAACCTCGTGGTCTTACTGGTGTTTGGGTATGGGACCTAAGGCCCCGGCCACACGAGGCGGTTTAACCGCGCGAAGTTAAGCCGCGCGAAGTTAAGGGCTTCGACAACACATTGGATTAAATGAGAGTGGCCACACGAGGCGAAGTTTAGCCGCATGTGCGGTTGAGCCGCAACATGTCGTCCCTGGACCGCGCGAAGTTAAGCCGCGTTGGAGGGGATGACACATGCAGTCTTATGAGAGTGGCCACACGATACGGTTCGACCGCGCGGCAGCCGCGCTTATTGGAGATATTCTTCGGACATTTCCAGTGGTTTTTGAGTTTGTTTTGTGTGTTTTTACCGGTTGTGTGGTGTTCAAACAATGTTTGATACATATGAACTCCGAACTATGGTTTCGCATGTGCTCGTAAAAGGTTTGGAACACAAAAAATTGTTTTTCCGTTACGAAGGGATGGACCCAATGATTTATGTTAACGTTCCAGATCACGACACGCTTTTAATGCACAAACTAACATAAGTGTTTCGCCCATGACTAAAAAGAGTGAACTGGAACTGAACTATGTTTTATAGAGTACTGATACTGGGAAAACCCAACAGGAAGCGGTTCATCCGCCCCGTGTGGCCACGCACTTCGCGCGGCTTAACTTCGCGCGAAGATAAGCCGCGCGGCTTAAATTCGTCTCGTGTGGCCGGGGCCTAAGAGAAGTGTTTTGTATGAAAATACTGTTAACTGCTACAGCAGCCAGTAAAAATAGATGGTTTGAATATTATTATAGACAAGGGAATACTTATTTCCTTTTTTGTAATACTATCTTGTTTGGAGCCGGTGGTTGGGAGGGGCATATCCCAACTCCGCGCAGTGGTCAGAAATCTGTCAAAACCGACTGTCCAACTCCGCGCAGTGGTCACTTCGGATCCCTCGCGGCACATGTCCAACTCCGCGCAGTGGTAAATTTTGGCTCTCTCAGCCCTGACGGCTGAGAGTTGGTGTTGAACTTTGAAATTGTGTTACACCTTATATTATGCTTATAATTTATGGGAAAGTAAAGAGATAAGATATACCTAAAACAGGAGATGAAGCTTAAAAACCACTAATATGAGAAGTTTTAAAAAGTCCGTGAGAAAGAGTGACTGTGAATTCATACGTTCCAAATTCTACAATACTCACTCATTCATATTACTGGGCTTATGAGCTCTCTGAACTTTAGTACCAAGTTCAAAAATATTAGTTTTGTATACAACCGCAGATTGCTATAACAAATTAGCTATA